AATGCATACGCATCTCGTCGGAAAAGATCGCCGAGCTGCAACGAAATTAATTTTCAAATATAAAAGCGATTAAATTCTTCTATTCGTGGTGGCAGTTGTCTAGATATTATTATTATTATTTTGATCCTTATTATTATGACTTGCGTTTGTAATGAATAATGTATGTCTGAACACATGGAGATCGCTACGACAATAATAACGTTTGCTTAAAGTTTTAATTATATATACTGGACCATGTGTCATCATAATATTATATTAATACTAGGTATATACACATTAGGATGGTCATTACTTATTATGCCGTATGGTCTAGTTATCTGTATCTATTAATAATATTCGTTAAAAAACAATCTATTTAAAGCAACGCATGTACGAACCAAGTATAAATTCTTACATTTGAAATACCTACGTAATAATTTAATATTTTTTCTCGATATTCAATAGGATGAGCAAAGAAGTTTATCTGAAATAACTTAACTCAACTATTAGTATGTTGTACCTAGTAACTATAAAACGTCGTCTACCTCTGGACTCTGGTACGGTGTATCAGTGTCATATTAATGTAATCAGGGGATTGAGAGAGGATTTTGATATAAATATAATATACAGGTCTAAAATTATAAGTATTCAATCATATCCAATAGAAACCTTACAACAAACAGTTGTATTTTTAATTTTTGGCATCCAGATTTTCTACTTTTTGGTGGATTTTCCTAAAATTGTACTTCATACAAACCTTCTCCTGACAATTAGGAAACACAACAGAAAAAAAATCAGCTAAATCAGTCAAAATGTTCTCAAGTGACCATGGAAAATAGGGATACATTTTTATATAATATGTAGAAATTAAATGTGCATTTTAATAACAAAATCTTAATACTGTATTGGTGTTTCATGCCAAAACTATTATTAAACAATTATTTCTTTTACATTTCGGTTGTTATACGAACTCGTGATTCATACTATCGAAGTATCCTGAAAACAGCTATCATCACTAACTGAACAAACTAATCAGATTGGAGTTTAGTCAGTTAAGATTGGATTGTGTAGGAGGTGGTAAGCTGAAATTTGAAAGTGATTCTTATTCAGACAGTCTGAGAGTGGTCGTCTCATTTACAACCCAACGACCACTATAATATAATTTAAGTACCTATTATACGTGTGTTTGCACGTACCGTTTGGATGTAGTATAATAATCATCTGGATTTTATCTATTTGAGGTTTGTTTTAATTATCGGTCGGATTTATTCAATTTTGAAATCTCTGTTACTGGACAACATAATTTTGTAATTTTTTGATCGTTGTAGGTATCTTATAAGATCGGCGTCGCGGAAGAATGCGAAAGCTGTCCCCGCGACGCCGTCGGTTCAAACTGAAAAAAAAAAAAGGTATCTTATAAGTTATAATACCCCAATAGATCGGCATAATATTATTATATACTTGCTAGATGGTTATTTATAAATGTGGGCTTATAAAAATTCATCTATGAAAAAAATGTATGATATTAAATTGGAATTTTCATACATACATTTTCTTGTTTAGTATGTTTTATAAACTGCATTTAAAATATATATCGATCATTGATGTGCCACGGTTTCAAAGAGATACTTAGGGCGATACCCTATTGGGGTTTTTGGCAAATACTGTATTTTATTACTATATACACTATACAGACCAAACGAATTTAACGCGTACGTTCTTCGGTCCAAACACACAAGTCGCAAACTAATACATTATTCAATATATTAGGTATATTCGAATTACTGGCCCACGAGAGTTATTTCACTTTACCTAGTAATGATATTAAATTTGGACATGTGTGATGTATTCATCGTATAAATGCGTATACGTTTTGCCTTGTGATAATGTTATGCCCAGGTAGTCAAAGTATTTAAGTATTTCGATTTTTGTATTAATTAATGTTCGAAAATGAGTTACATTTTTTCTATGTTCAAGGTTTTGATCAAAAAAAGATTAATTTATAAATTGAACAGCTGAGATTTTATTATTATGCAAGCTCTTTAATTATTATAGTCCAAAAATCATAAGCTCCACCTAACCTGAAATCCAATATTTAAACACCAAATTCATCTACATAAAATCTTTGAACACTGAACAATAACTGAGTTTCACCATTTAAAAGTCTGAAATAAATGTGATCCACAGATGTTGTCAACCATAAGGGTTTATATTTTATTTTTTCAAGTTTCGTGACCAAAAACGTTTTTAAAAATGTTCGTGTTTCGTACAAGACATTTTGACTCCCTGGACTTAAATATAATAAATTACTCACGAGTTAACGGGTTTTTTTGTCTTCGCTTTTAAATTATCATAGATTAGGTAAGCGCAAATGGATAGTATTATAATATGTATTGAAAGCCGTCCGATGGAAATCTCGGAGTGTTGTTGGCATCGAGACAACCACGTGTCTGCGAGTTAAGCTCAGTACCGTGATACGCGTTTATCTATTTTGGCATTGTTTAAAAGAAAAACAAACTTGAAACAGTAATACGATGTAACATTATTATGTCAAAATGTGTGAAAATCAAGATAAAATAAAAAATACCCACGTAACAGAGACAGATCTAGAAAAATAAATACCTGCAGTCTAATCAATTATATTTTGTAAGGCTATTTCGATGTACACAACATGACAATCGCTTATTCCATTGTTGTGTTGTATTATATTTTATATTATACTGTACACACACACATAGTGATGTACAAACTATACTAGACATTTACTTAAAATAAGAAGTAAATATTTTTCTTCTGTAAAAATAACAAGTTTTGCTCGTTTTTTGAAACCAAAGATATATTTATTATATCGATGAGTCTTAACTCTTAAGTGAATTATTACAAAATGCTCGAATTCTTTAACATGTGTAATTGTGACATTGTATAATATGCTAATAATATAAGGTCGTAACATAATATTATATATATATATATACATCAATATATTATATTTCTAGAGTAGAATATTGTATTACATATTTACACTATTGTAACCTAACCTAACGTTGTGAATATCACAATTGAAGGGCTTGGAACAACAACCAGGTAAATCAACTTTTTAAAATTTTTCAGGGCTGATACAAAACTGTAGGGCCTTACTAAAACTATTACAGTTAAATTTTTCTTTTTTTAACTTGATGAAAAATAATGCTGTGGACTTGGAATTTAGTTAACTTTTTTTTTTTAGACCAAAGTTGTCCAAAGTTATGAAGCCTATGGATTTATCTGGTTATTGAGCCAAAAATATTGTTTTTTGGAAGGTACACTCTAGAAATTTAAAAAAAAATGTTTGTATATCGGATTTATCTGGTTGTTGCATCCAAATGTATGTAGTTTATTCCTACACAATAATTTATGAAAAAGTGCATTTTCGAAAAAAGTGAATTTACCTGGTTAGGCTAACCTGGTTGTTGTTCCAAGCCTTTCAATTAATATTTTTATATAAGAATGGCAGAATTTAAAAGAAAATTGTAGTTGTTATAATATTATAAAAAATTGTTTTTCAAAAATAATATAGGTAGGTACACATTTTTCTACAATTTCCGTTATTGGTGTGAGTACTAACGAAAAAACATGTTATATTATTTCTTTCGAGAACCATTTTGATTTTCAATAAGCTTTTTGTTACCTAGGTAAGTTTAAACCATTTCAAATCATCCAAAATATTATGAAGTTTACATTAACTAAAAATACTATGAATAAAATATGTTTATAAGAAAAACACATTTTAATTATTAATATCCTAGTAATATTTGTTTTTGATATAATTTTTAACTTTGTCTAGTTGATAATACCGATCATAATATTATTTTAACTAACAACATTATAAATTTTCTTTAAACATATTATTGATATTCACTAGAAATATTGATTTTTTTAGAATAAATGAAGATACAAGATATGATGTAGTTAATAAGAATATTACAGCCACCTCACATAAAAGTCCTTTTTATAATAACTATTTTTTCGTTTCAGGTGACGTTGTCTATATCAATTTTGATTAGTCTCCACGTTTTTTTCTTGCTGGTTGTCGAAATTATACCTCCGACGTCATTAGTAGTGCCATTACTGGGAAAATATTTGATATTCGCTATGATACTGGTTTCAATAAGGTAAGTTTATTATTATTAAATTTAACGAGATATTATTAAAATTTTATTGGAATCAGGATTATATAATTACTTACCTATAAAGGAAAATATCTTAAATTCATAAAATAAATTGTTTTTGTAGCCATACAGAAACAGAAATAAATTGAAATAAACAATATGTGGTATTAAAATATTATAATCATACTTACTATAAAAATACGGTTTTTCAGACATATTCTGAAGAAAATTAAATATATGGCATAATGTTAGTACCTAACTGTATTATAACTTATATGAGATTACGCATCTAAATTACAAATGCATGCATTATTAAATTCGGAGTTTCAAAAAAATTAAATGTTACATGGTACCTACATGTACTGTCTTATAATTTTACATAACCCAGAAATATAAACTATAGTTTATAAGTACGCTTGTCAACGTTAAAAATTATTGTTAAACATTTGTAACAGTACACTGTCGTCCACCATAAAACGGTCCTTTTCAGGACCACCAATCACAGCTCAGAATGACAGAACAATCCGTTTGAATAACTTCACGCCTTTGTCACAAAGCCCCAAGTTATTGCAAACACTTAACAACAACATCGATGTATAGGGAAGACCGAGAAGCGTCGAACGACACCATACCCACATCCATAGCCCCAAAACTGTGCAGGCAACACCACTTCCCGTACCAAACGCAAACACAACAGCCACGGCGGCAATACGCGCGTTTACTAGTCGGTACGGGACACAGTATATATACCGGGCGCTTTCATCATATCAGCATCAGTCTTCATTCAACCTTCTATTCAGTATCATTCCAAACACTTAGAAGAATAAGACCTGACACTCCGACGAAACCCGCCACCAGTCAACGACGAGCAGACTAGCAGCCAGACGTGAACCGACCATAATTCGTTACCCAAGCCCGCCGCATTGCCGCTCGCCGAGGACCAGCCGATAGGCAATCCAAACGCTGACAGCCACGAGTCCGCCGCCACCAATCACGAGGTGATCCAAGCCTAGCGACGCGTCCAGTACATGAACGACGATCCATTGGCACATTCAAGGAACTAGAGTCGTAGCCAGAAGTTTCCGCCGCTGTGACCGACTGATCGCCGACACAACGCCGACCGATACCATCCATCGACACCGACTCCAACGGATCCCCCCGACCCCCCTTTGGCCACTTGATCGAGTTGTGTCAAACCCCGGGTCCGATATACCGTTGTAGCCGCTTCCTGCGAGTTAAGCGCAACGATATATTGACCCCGTCCATACGGCGACTGTAACACGCCGATATCCCCAACACATTTCCTATCACTGTACATAGGACCAGGCTTTTGCTGGTCGCGCCGAGCTCTCACCGCAACGGTCCGCCTATTCAGGCCGGCCGTCGCACTCGTGAACCTCGCTATCCCTACTTGTATAATAAATATATTTTGATGAATAATAAAGAATAAGACGTAATACCAAAACCTACGCATTCTTATTCCGGACGCCGGTCCGCAGTGACCGTGCCGTCTCAACTGGCGCCCAACTAGTGGTTCACCCACACCCAACTGCTCAAGAAGAAACGACACCTCTGAAGCAAAATGACTAGAAACACAAGACGTCAACAGAACAACTCAATAATGGAATCCACTGAAGAAAAAATCACTCGGCTAGAAACGACAATACGAACAATGACAGACGATATAGCTACGATGAAAGAAAATTTCAACACACGCATCGAAGCACTACATCAACTAATAAATGACTACGACACAAAAACAGTAGTAAACGTTGAAAAATTGAACAAAGATTTGAGCAACATAGCAAACAAACAAACACTAATGGACACCACGGTGACAACCAGATCAAACACAGTAGAGTTGCCCATGCCAACGTTCGCAGGGAACGAGCAAACCGACCACCCGAAAAGATTCTTGAGAAACTTAAACACATACTTAATACATAAAAAAATAGCTGAAGACGACAAAATGATCGTGATCGAAAATTGCCTAAAAGGAAAGGCAGCAAAGTGGTTTACAATGGTAAAAGACGCAACTTGCAACATCGAAAACTTCAAAGACCTTTTCTTAAAAAACTTCTTCTCTGAAAACAAACAGTGGAGCATTTTTATAAAATGCACGGAAGCTGGAAAAGCAACAACAAAAGGCAACTACCAAGAACATTTTCACAAATGGATGGATGAATTAAAATACCTTGACTCACCAAAAATCGCAGAAGAACAAGCAATAAATCTAGTCATTAAACATTTCCCGATAGCAATACAAGCATACATACAAAACACAGAAAAAACGTTTTTAAAAATTTGGGAGAAATTGGGAGAAATTGACGAAAAAGATCAACAAGTCGATCCAAACCCAAAACAAAAAACAACTTACACATATCACCAAAGTAGAAACACAAATCAAACACCCCACACACAATCATACGGAAGACAGCACTTCCAAAACGACAGAAAAAACGCGGAGAAAACGGTGAATCAAATTACAATAGTTCAAGACCAGGCAAAAAACAGCGAAGAAGAAACCGATGATGAAATGCCAAAAAACTGGACACGGGAGACGGGGAAGGATCACCCACCGTCATTGAATCCCACAGATCCAGAATACACAGAATAAAATGCGACAGGAAAAAAGCAAACCCACAGCACCCGAAGGAGAGTACAACAATCCTAACTGCAAAAGAACTGTCTCAGAATAACGATTTTGACGAAGAACTCACACAAACACAGACACACGGATGTCCATACATTAAAGTAACCATAGACAACATAGAACACGAAATGTTGGTAGATTCTGGGGCAGATATAAGCGTAATCTCATCAGAACTAGAAAAAAAAATAATAGAAACAAACGAACACACACCAATATTACCAATAACAGGACTAAACGTCCATAGTGCAGTTGGAAACAAATCAACGAGAGTCGATAGGCAAATCCTACTACCAATTAAAATTAAAGAACACACTATTCAAGTACCATTCATTGTTATTACGGGATTAAATGAATCAGCAATAATTGGCAACGACTTTCTAGAAAAATACAAAACATTATTAGACTTCGAAAATCAATCACTAACATTGCGTACGGAACAATCATCAGTACAAACCCTGTTCACAAACAGAGAAAGGGCAGCAACATCAAAAATTGAAATGATACACACAAAAACAATGACAGAACCAATGAAGCCAAGAACAATAAATATAAGACCAAAAACGGAACAAGCATACGTGGAAGAAATTCTCGAACAATTTCCAGAAGTTTTTACGAAATACCCAGGAAAAATTCGAGGGCACAAATGCAAAATTCGATTGTCTAACACGACACCAATACGGGTAAAACCATATCCAATCCCAATAGCAAAATTAAACGCAGTCGAAAAAGAAATAAACAGAATGCTAGAACTTGACATTATCGAGAGATCAAGATCCCCCTACTCAATACCAATAGTTCCGGTTTTCAAAAAAAATGGAGAAGTGAGGCTATGCCTCGACGCCCGGAAAATAAACGAAATAATAATACCAGACTGCGAACGTCCACTAACAATCGAAACCATCCTGGCCAAATTCAAAAAGGTCAAATACATGAGCACTTTAGACCTAAGATCGGGATACTGGCAAGTAGAGCTGGAAGAGGACAGCAGAGCTCCATGTTCTTTCTTAATTAATGGAAAGAATTACTCGTACAAAAGATTACCATTCGGATTAAACGTAAGCGGAGCGGAATTCCAAAAAAGTATGGAAACAGTTCTTGGACCATACACAAATGAGTTTGTGACCATATACGTCGATGACATACTAATCACATCAGACAGCTTAGAGCAACACCTCGACCACATAAGAACAGTGCTCAGAAGATTTAAAAACTACGGAGTAACGGTAAACTTAGATAAGTGCCAATTTTTTAAACAAACGGTACCATTCTTAGGACACATAATAACAACCAACGGTATAAAAATGGACCCAGAAAAAGTCAAAACAATCAATAACTTCAGAGCTCCAAACAACAAGAAAGAACTCCAACGCTATTTAGGCTTCCTGAACTTTTACAGAAGATACATAGACAAATACGCACACATAATTGAACCTATGATAGAACTGACACGTAAAAATAAAAAATGGGAATGGGAGGAACGCCATAAAATAGCATTCGAAAAATCAAAACAGGCCTTCACAGAAGAAAGTTTAACAACATTCCCGGACTTTACAAAAAAGTTCTATGTGAATACAGACGCATCAAGTACAGCAATCGGTGGGGAACTGTTTCAAACAATAGATAACGAAAGAAGAACAATTGGCTTCGCAAGTAGAACACTAAAACCCGCCGAAACAAGATACACAACGACAGAACTCGAAACATTGGCAATAATATATTGTTGCACGAAGTTCCGCCAATACCTAATTGGTCATAGATTCATCATCCAAACAGACCATCACGCTCTCACATTTATCAAACAATGTAAATTGACGAGCGGGAGGTTAATGCGATGGGCACTTGCGCTACAAGAATTCAACTATGAAGTCGAATACATCCAAGGGAAAAAAAATATAGCAGCCGATACGCTGACAAGATACCCACAAATAGGCGAGGCGAGGACAGAAGAAACAATATGCTTAAACAAATTAGTAATGGAAACACTCAGCAAACCACTGTTGGAAAAAATAAAAAACATAGCACTTGAACAAGCCAAGGACAAACACATAGAAAAAATGCAAGTCAACAACCACGTCACAAAAATCAACGGCGTAACATTCGTAAGACAGAACAGCAACACAGTATGGCAAGTGATGATCCCAGAACACATGACCAGACCACTGACGGAAGAAATACATTCATCAGCTGGTCACCCAGGAAAATACAAAACGTACCACATAATAAATGAGGCATGCAAATTTCGGAACATGAATACAATAATTGCAACAGTCGTAAAAAATTGTGATACATGCCAAAGGAATAAACCACTGAACTACGCAGCAAAAGGGAAAATGATAGCCCACAAACCAACAAGATTATTGGAAAAGGTATCAATAGACCTTATGGGTCCCTTACCGACCGGCCGTGGTGGAACACATTTCATTCTCGCAATATTAGATACGTTCTCAAAATTTATCAAGCTATATGCATTAAAGCGAGCCACGACAAAAGCAATAATCAAAAGATTAATCGAAAACTACATACCAGAAGTAGGAACACCAGAAGCCATAATTTCCGACAACGGGACACAATTCACGTCAAAAATATGGACAGCCAAACTAACAGAATTAAACATAAAAACAGTTTACTCTACAAAATACCACCCGCAATCAAATCCCGTGGAGAGATATAACAGAGAAATCGGGAGACTATTAAGAACGTATTGCCACGACCAACACTCAAAATGGCCCAACTATCTGGAAAAAATTGAATATTGGATGAACAGAATGAAATCAGAAATCACCGAGGCCACCCCGATAGAAATACTACAAGGAAAAAAACCTGAAAATATAATCGAAAAATGGATCAAATTTCCACCACAACCAAAGGACACAAATAGAAAAGAAATGTTGTGTTTAGTCGCAGATAGAATAAAATCAAAAGCAGAAAAACGTGAAACAAACCAAAATAAAAACAAAAAATTTATTAAATACGAGGTGGGTCAAGAAGTACTAACTAGAAACCATCACTTGTCAAACCTACAAAATAATGAAATTAAAAAATTATTTAACTTATATGAAGGACCGTTTACAATTCACAAGATAATAAGTGATACAACTCTAGCAATCATAAACCAGAAGACCAATAAAGAAGTGCTAATCAACGTCGCCGAAGTCCGTCCATACTATACGGACAAAGAAGCGACAGATCAATAAAATACACGAAAATGGTCCAATCACAGCACGGGACACTACCAGCCAACCACAACTCGGCAAGGACCAAGAAAAAAGTATATAAACCCGTAAAATACCAACAACCAACCCAAATTTGTACGAGCCTTTGAAAAGAACGGTAAAAGATTACCAATTCACATGGTCTCCCTAAACCGTACTGAGAATGTTAAAGAAATCTATGAAGTATCCGACCTTTTCTACATTCGTATAAAAATCGAACCATATAAATCTACAGGACCTGCACAATGTTTTTCCTGTCAACGTTTCGG